TTCCCCTTTGCCCAGCTCTCCAGCCTGTTTAGATCTTATTGGATGGCAGCACAGCCTTCCTGTGTGTCAGCCACCCCTCCCAGTTTTGTATCATCAGCAAACCTGCAGTTAACATGGATTTCAGTCTTCCTTGTTTTTTGGAGCACTGGACTACATCTAACACTTTTAACATTTTCCCAAAGAGCTGTCGAATGGCTTTCTGGGCTTCTTCCAGGGCCTGCCTGGCATCCTGTCCTGCGCTGGTCTGTCTTCTCACTACAGTTCAAACGTTGTCATTCAACCTCCTTATTTTCAATCTGATTTTGTTCACAATGTCAGAGATGTTTGCAGAAGATTGCTCAATGGGAAAGAGAGTATTAATGTACTCCACAGCACTGAAATCTGTTCTGTCCAGAGGATCGTGGCAGGAAATACCTGTTCAGTGGGGACCTGCAGGGGCTGCAGCTTGGAGCTGCAACCAGCTTGGTGCTCTCATTTTACCCAGCAAGCATTCTCCAGGCGTTTGTGGCAGAGTTTTTCTTCAAACCTCTTTGAACCTCAGCCATCAAGGTGACATTTCAGTCCAGGAGACAAGACTAGCTCTAGTTTGAAATAAATCTCCTAAACCACATATGCTTATGGGGCTCTCTACACTGATTGCTTTAATAAATTGACCCCCTCCTACTGTGCTCTGTTGCTTGATAATGAAGACATTGCCTGTCAAAGATGTCGAGGTTCGAACACTGTTATTAATACATAGAAGCAATGATAACATTTGCCTTTCAGAACAGTAGTGTTTTGTTTAGAAATGAAATAATATGGAAAACACATAAGAGAAAAGGGTGGCTGTTCACAGTTAAGGTTAACTGTTTACAGTTAAACAGTAAAAAGTTATTATGATAAAAATGTGATCATACTTAATTTAAATTACCTGACACCCCATTTAATGATATATCATAAATATATTATAAATATTGTAGTAATATTAATAACATGACTATAATATTATGCAAGGTTATTATATTTAAACAAATTGCTTTGTTTTATTCAAATGAGACACATAAAAAGGTCACAAACGTGAATATATTGGGCTAGCTAAGAACTACCTAAACCTCATAACTGAGAAAAAGTATTCAGTAGAAAAGAATTAAAAGACATTTCTCCGTTGCATAAGGTTGCAGGAAAAGGGAGCAAAGGAGTAAATGAGATTCACAAATCTGTCTTTGTTGCAGCAAAACTGAGCTAGTGCAGGAGACCCAGAAAGTCTTTCATTTAGACAATTTTAAAGCAAGATCATGAAAACAAAAATTAGTACAAATGAGAAAGCAGGGGGAGGGGAGTAGAATAAAAATGAAGCAAGGAGCAAATGTGAGATGCAACAAACTTAATCAAAGCCTCTATCTGACACCTCAGTGGTTTTCAAACATTATTGTGTGGTTCATGATCAAATTTGCATCTAAAAAATGAGAATAATGTTTTCAAAAGCAGCTATTCTTCAGTGCCTCAGGTGCAATTTTCAGTACCAATAATTTGTTTTCATTTAATCAACGTCAAATGGAAATGCTGAAAAGAGTTGGCTTGAAGCCAACTAAGGGTGTTTTGTTTTGTTTTTTTCCCCTTCTCACTGATCTTAAAACAAAACCAAACTTTTAATGTCAGAGAATTCCAGGCAATCAAAACCAAATATCCCACTTCATTCACAGATAATTGTGAAAAAAGCAAAGGATAACAAAGTCTAGCTTGACAAAGTTGTCACTGAAACTCTTCCTTTTTAACAATATTCAGTGTGCCTTAGATTCTTCCTTAGGATCTGAGAGCCTCAGAAACAAAACCCATCTCTACCTCTTAGGATCACACCTTAGGAAAGGTGTGAATTACCAGTCTGAAGCAGAAAGAGAATAAGGAACTCTTCAACTCTTGATTTTAAATTATCCCTCAGTCATAGCTCGTGTTTTTCACTGAACAATAAAATTCCCTCTAAAAGCACAGTAATAAAACTTGCTAAGTATTATTATTAATTTGGAAAAGAATGTGCTACAATTATTCTAGAAATATTACAATGACTGATCATTAAGTGATACTGTTAACCATGAAGACAGTAAATATCATGCCTACCAACTTGGTCCACCACCTCCTCGCTTGATCATGGGTTTTTATTTCCTTCCCCTGTCACTCCCACCTTTAGTTCTCCTCCCCAGGTTGGCCAAGCAACCGATCACTACTGCGAATTTCTTGTGTTATCGCAGCACTTAGGAGACAATCATGGATCTCTCCAGAAATGGTATAAACACAGCTTTGTGCCCTACTTGTTGAGGTGAATCTCATCTCATCCCAGCAGTTCTCAGTCCTCCAAGATGGGCTGTCCCATAGTCAGAAAAACCAACTCCTCATTTTCAGCACCAGCTGTGCACACAACCGTTGGCCTCCATATCCATCCATTCTTCCCGTCCTACCCCCTCACCAGCAGCACTGAGGAGGAACTACCTGGGCACCTATGCCTTTGGCTCATCCCACAGCCATCTAGTCATGCTTGATCCACTCCACGTCTCCCCTGGCAGGATCGCTGGTGTCCACATGGAAGTGCAACAGAGAGTAAAAGTCCAAGGCTACAAGACTCATCACGCTTTTCACATTGTCCTAAATGTCAGCCTCGCAACAAATCTCCCCAGACAGCACATCGGGGCAGCGAGTGGGGGCTTCCATGTCTCGCGGCAGGGAGTCTGCGACTACCATCGCTCTTCTCTTCCTCCTATGTGGTTCAGGCTCAGGCAGCTCAGACGCTTTGCCAGAGAGAGCTTCCAGGCCATCATCTGCTACTAGAACACTGAAGCCATTCTGTACCTGCAAATGTCACTCCAATCAACCCACAGCCTTCCAAAGCTAGCTTTTATTCTGGTTTTACGCAGTACCTAGAAGGATACACATTCATTTCCTAAGTGGTGTGACAATAATTTGATATTACCCCATTGTAACACTGTTAAGAGTGGGAGTTTCAGGTTCTGTGCTGCCTCGGTGGTTCTTTGACATTATGATAACTCTTCTGTACATAGAGAGGTTTATTTGTGTTAAACTTTTATTAAACCAGGCTAGACATCGAATTACAAACTTTTGGCTTATGAACTGCTCAGTTTAATGAAGGCGCTCAGCCCGAGACATTTTAACCCCTCACTTCAGTTAGGTTACAATTTCCTTTTGGAACTTAGAATTGCTATGCCACGGAAAAGCCTATGAAAATGTGGAGTTTCACAACAGCACATTTTTGTCTGCAGGAACATTTTATTGTCTTTGGATTGTGACATCTTCATCACTGGCTGAAATACGGATCAGATTTGGCTACTACAACATCTGATAAAAAAGCAATATGAAGATATGAATCAAACAACGTCGAAGGAAATAGCTCCCTATCCAAGCAGAACTTTCTTCGAAATCTTAGAAATACCGATCTACGTTTCTAAACGTTTCTTCTACGTTGTGATGTTTGATTTGACACATCACAACAGGCTCAGGTCTTCACAGCATTAGAAGTTCAGCACTCTGTAAAAAACCAAGATCCACTGTAAGGATGGAGGAGACACCAGACAGTGAACCCCCCAAACCTCCAGTCACGTTTAGGGAAAGGCAGTAAATGGGAAAAGCAAAAATAAATGCTCTGACTTTGGCAAATTCAACAACATGGATATATATTTTTTCTTTTTGTCCTTTTGACTTATTTCTCCTACATTTTTTTTCTTCATTTCTCTCAGTTTGTATCCCTGCATTGCTGAATTGTGTTCTCCTCTCTCCAGCTCCCTGCAGGAATTCCCAGCCTTCTGTTCCATGTTGCCTCTTTCATCCCCCTTGTCTGTGCTTCTTCCTTTTCCTTTTGGTGGTGCCTTTCCTTCTGGCACTAAACACAGCAGGCTCAGCTTCTCTCTCAAAACCCCTCTTCTTTTTTGTCCATTTCCATAGCCTGTACCTGCTCCATCTCAATGAGTATCTTACCACCTCATTTCTTCCCCAGATCCTCACATGAAAGAGGATGTGCAAACAGAAATGGTTTGGTGAGTATCAGAGCTGAAGCCAGGGTGCTTACAGTTTTTCTCCTGTCTTGTGTCTTTTTTGCCACCCCTTCTCTCATGATATCTGCCTATTCTGCTGCAAAACGGGCGGTATAGGTCATGAGGAGAGCTCCACTCGTCTCTCGCATCAGTCCCTGGGAATGAAGGTACATCTAAACTCCCAAAGAAAAATCAAGAGAGCCCACAAATTTCAGCACCTAAATAATTTTGAATAAATTGGGTTTTGCCTCATGGATCATAATGTGTAATGGAGATCAGGATCTTTGAAAATGGCATGCCTTCAGGTACGTGGTTTTAAAATTACACCAACGTCTCCAAATTCTGAGGCATTATTTGGTTGTCTTTTTTGTGCTGTGGCTACAATTTTCTTGGGTCAGGTACATACCAGAAGTGACTGCAGTTACTAGTCCTGCTCTATAAACAGAATGTTCCTACAGGTACTCTCTCTAGAGTAAAGGCAGCATGGCTGAAGGCTGTAATTCTTAAACACTTCTTACTTTAGCAATAACTTAATTTGTGCTGCTCTGGTAACTAAGATGCTACTATCTAGCTGGTTCATTGTGGCAGATATACAGTGCCGTATATGCTACTACAAGGTTCGTAATCTACACAAAACCAACACACACCACTCATCAGTAGGGAACGAGAAATCATTCCACGCAAAAGGTTTCAGAATATGAAGTAAGGTGATTCAACACAGCAATTCCTAAACAGGTTTCTTACACAAAGATTTCAAGTCTGCTGGCTACTTACTCAAGGAAGAGATGTGTTAGCTCTGCAAAAAGATGCCCAGTGGTGATTACTGTAAGACCATATAGATAATCTTTCCAAAAAAATAACATTGAACAAAACAGATCTGTAGTCCTGTGAGGTGTCTATGAATTATAAAACAGTATTACTCTGAAATTTCAAAATGAGGTGTTGCAGTGAAAGTTTCTTATTATTGACTCTTACTTTTCATTCCTGAATGCCTTGAGTAGAACTGAGGCTGCAAAAGTAAACTGTTTCTGTTCTGTGGCACTGGTTTCAGCCTTCCGATGGGGAAATTCTTTTTCACGTTCCAAATTCCTTGCAGAGCCACTGTTAATAATTTGTCAGAATAATACAGTTATAACTGATGACTTCAACTTGTTCTAGAATTAATGTAACTGTTAAGACAGTCCCTTTGGTCTATACAGAAATTAGGAGCAGTTAAGCAGAACACTATAATCTTCCTCCATAGTTAATGAAACTAGGCTGACATCTTCAGAGAGCAATTCAGATTGCTAAAGGTACACAACGCTCTCTAGTGTCTGTAGAACAGCTTAAGGCTGCTCGGCTTCTAACTGAAGCAGGATGCAGCTGGTCTGTAATGTGTAAGAAACAGAAGAAATCAATGCATCCAGCATGGTCTATTGGTTATACTGGAATATGAAATGCCCTCATAAAACGGTAATAGAAAAAAAACACAAACAAACAAAAACACAAAACCCCCCCAAAAAACCAACCAACCAACTAACCAACCAAAATCACAACCCCCCCGCACACACACACACCTCCCCTAAAACAAAACAAACCCCAAACAAAACCAACACCAGTAAAACAAAACAAAACAAGCTAATTTATGTTATGGAAAGGTTACAACATCCTAACCATCTAATTGTAGAATAATAAAATAACTAATCCCTTACACTGTGTACATCAGTAACCATCCAGCCTGACAATTGTTGTTTATCAGAGCCCAGGTAGCTTAGAGAGCATCTGTGATTCTCTAGATGTGTACAGATGACAAAGGAACTAGGTACTTGCTGAATAATCTGTACACCAACATCTATTTGACCTTACTATACACAGCACGGTTATGCCGTGCATAGAGCAAGGTAGGCTATATGTACTATTTACACACTGAGCTTGTTATAATCCATATTATACATTCCTGTAACGACTATTTTTGTAGCATTTCCATATTATCTTTAGTACTTTAAGCCTTTCTAACATAAATTTTGTTGTGGGACTCCCCAAAAATCACAAAGACATACATGGTAGCATCCATTTGTACAATCAAATGAAAACACTCCAGTCCATTTTGATCCCTAGGAAGGTGGATGAAGTGAAATATGGTTGTGTTCAGCTCTTAGAAATACTGGATCTGTGAGCAGCTTGAGCAGATCGATGTTAGCATTTGCAGTCCAGCTGCTTGTCCAGAACCCTTTTACAGTCAATGGTAAAAGAACAGGTGCTTTGAGAGCACGGCACATGCAACACCTGGTATCTAGAAGTCAGAACTGCATTTTCAAAGTCCTTTTTTCTCTCCATTTACTATAAACACAGTCTAAATAAGTCATTCATTTGCAGGTGAATGCTGTAATTGTCTAAGGAGCCTCACAGTAATGGAGTTGCAGGTTTAAACAGTCTAGATATGACAGGATACTGATTACAATACCTAATCAATGTACATTTTTTAATCTGAATTCAACTGTTTTAAATTCATTTTGAGTGAATTTAGACTTGGGTCTCAATCCTACATAAGAGAAACCAGACATTTTTCAAAATTTTCTAGATTTGGAAACAGGCAAAAGTGCCCTTATTACATTTGTGGATGATGTAATAATTAGGAGATGTAGTGGTGGGCTTATGCTAACAGAATGCGGCTTAATGTAACCAGACATTAGCTTTACCCTACAGAAGAGAATGTGGGGCTACAACTGCAATTGTGTGTTGTGGAACAAAAGCATCATGGATTTAGGAGTAACAGTCAAAAGCAGGTCAAGGTCCTAGTACTAAAGTTAGCTCTAAAATAAGTAGATGATTCTCTCTCTCTGTAGGCTGCTAGTGATACAAATACTGAATTACCATGATCAGATTTGGTATTCACATTTTGAAAGAGGAGGCAAAACAATTGGTGAGAGTATATACAGAGCCCAACCCAAATATATGTGTATATACCTTATCTGGAAGAAAATCCTGGATACTAAAAACGCACTATTATATATACAAGAAAATCAAGGAGCTGAATCACGAAAATACTAATTATTAATCAGGCTTTTTTCTAATACACCAACCACTAGCATAAACTAATGAGGGAAGCTGTGGAACAATCAGTTTGACTCAGCGGACTCTACACAGAGGTACTTAAGAAAATACAACAGCTTGGCTGATAAAGGTGGGAAGACCTTGTAGTCAACCAGAAAAGATGAGCTATCCTTAAACATTACCAACTTCTGAAAATCCATTTCTGCAATTAGATTAATACACTTTATGGCTGCAGAGCCCACCAGCATGATGTAAGTTTTGTCTTACGTGAGTCACATGGCTTGAGGCTCATTCCTGCACCAAGAGTAGCAAAAGAGCTCAGAGCAGGTCTAAAGGTTTAAATACTAAATATCAAAATGTGTATTAAAAAAAATCGAAGTGATCTTTGTTAAATTGTTCCAGCATTAAGTTCTCTTTCTGTTAAAAACAGCTAATTATGTGTCCTCTGATCTTACCTCATTTTTAACTCCAGTTCTCAGAACTTTAAGTTTAGCTGACCCTGAACAGTTTCCTCTGACTTCTATTTCCTCATGTGCCTACTGTAATCAAATCTCTCCATGACATCTAAGCTTCCTAAACAGACTGATTTTCTAATCGCTTTCACTTTTCCTGTCCTTTTATTTACTTTTATCATTCTTACTTCAACTCTTTCTTTTCATCATGAACTTCAGTTTTGAACAGCAGAACAGAACAAAGTATTCTAATAAATACAGCACTTCTTTAAAAGAAAAAAGGTAGCAAAACCTCCCTGCTGCTTGGCATTTTTTAATGTTTTATTAAACTGATAGATCATATGGAATTAGCTGTGTTCTCTGTGGCCCTATAATTTCAGAATAAAACCAAAAAGTAATAAAGACTATATACAATTCTTCTGTTTGAAATGTTCCCCAGGCTATTACATAAATGTTCTGGGATGGGTTTTTTGAAAATAATAATTCACCACAGTTCCACAGAACAATTTATATTTCATTTGCCCTGACAAACACGTGCCATTTGCTGATGAGGAGGATTACCTGCTGCCAGATGTTTAACGCGGCAGGATTCTTTATGAAAATTAAGCTCTTCTTCAAGAATTTCTTTCACTCTCCTAGATGGCTCAACATACACAGATTTCTTCCCTGTTAGTAAAACATATTACGAAAGAACTAGTTAGTTTAAATCCCTTGTATGCTTAACACGCTCTGCTGAATGTGATGTCATTTTATGCCGCTCTACTTCTGTCTTTAATATGCTTTAAGACAAATTATTGACATATACACGAAGGTGTTCAGGCAGGCCCCCCTGCCCAACATGGAGAACCTCCTCAGGACAGGATGGCAGTGGGTCGATGGGAACGGGGAACGCTGGTGGAATGCTGGCGGGGAGGCTCTCCCCTGCGGGAGCTGCTGCCACCCTGGGGCACCGGAGGAGATGAGGCCATGGCAAACAACCCAAGGCACCACCCCTGGAGGAGGTCTCCGTGGAGATGTCCTTGTTGCAGGAACCTGGCATTTTTCAGGTCAGGCTTGATGGGTCTCTTCAGCAACCTCATCTAGTGAGAGATGCCCCTTTAAGGGTCCCTTCTAACCCAACATGTTCTGTGATTCTACGGAGTCTCCAAGGAGAGCCCCTCACTGAAGGAGATCACTCAGGAGCTGAAAGCCCACAGCACAGGAGAGCTATAAACGTGCTGGAGCATGTCCAGAGAAGGGCCA